CATTCAAAGGTGTATATCAAATCACCATATCCATTAGACTGTGCCCCTACATGATGCCACGTTTAACGGTGCACCTCTCCTATATCAGACATGATGCCACGTTTAAGGATGCTCCTATATTAGACATGATGCTACGTTTAATGGTGCTCCTCTCCTATATCAGGCATGATGCCACGTTTAAGGATGCTCCTATATTAGACATACTGCCACGTTTAACGGTGCACCTCTCCTATATCAGGCATGGCGCCACATTAAGGATGCTCCTATATTAGACGTGATGCCACGTTTAAGGATGCTCCTATATTAGACATGATGCTACGTTTAATGGTGCTCCTCTCCTATATCAGGCATGATGCCACGTTAAGGATGCCCCTATATCAGGCATGATGCCATGTTTAACGGTGCCCCCACAGCAGATGAGGCAGCAGTCATGTATCAGCAACGACTGCCCAGGGACAAAGCTAATGCACTACTAATTAGTACCGGCTTTCCCAGCCATCAGTATGGTCCCCTGGTAGCCACGGTCAATTGGTTCCCCAGCTTCATGCCAAGCCCCGCTTGGTGCCAGACACACTGATCTAATCACATACACACACAGCACACACGTACACAGTAAGCGACTACGTTATACATATTAAAACTCGTAGCAGAAATTTAAACCCGATTAAATTTTCAAACAGTGTATGCGATATGGAGAGGAATAGGTAATTGAGAGCTATGAACACGTAACCGACAGCGAATACTGCTAGACAAACGTGGAACACATGTTCCTGAAACTGCTTTTGTCAACTGACTAACAAACAAATGACTAGGGAAACTATTAAGCGTAGACGACTTTTGGTTGTCTTTACCGGCAGTGAAATTATTAAATTGAATGAGTGCCTTCTCGCTATGGGGTTCAACAGAAAGGTACATTGTTCCATATGATACAGTAAAGTACCATTTGTCCATCCTATACAATTTACAACAGGAATTACAACCATTTAAAAGTAACCAGAGCTCCATTTAACGCCACATCCACCTTTTACTTGTTGTCCAGCGCTGGTTAATTTAGAGGAGGATCTGGTGGGCAGGTAACATTAGCACGCTGTGTGACGTTGCGTGATGGTCTGCTGTATGCGGGATGCCAGGCACGTAGCGTGATATATGCTGACAACAAGTAGTGTCGAATTGTATGCCGACAACAACTACGGTGTCGTGATGTATGCCGGACAACAAGCGTGATGTATTCCGGACAACAAGCGTGATGTATGCCGGACAACAAGCGTGATGTATGCCGGACAACAGTGATGTATGCCGGACAACAAGCGTGATGTATGCCGGACAACAAACGTGATGTATGCCGGACAACAAACGTGAAGTATGCCGGACACCCAGTGAGTAGCGCGATGTACGTGAAGCCGTGCACGTAGCGTTATGTATGTCGGACAACATATACGTTGTCGTGCTGTATGCAGTGGAACCAACCAAACTGATGCTAACGCATGAATGGTGTAGGACGCCTATTTCACATGTCTGATGTCGCACAGCATGCTGTGCACGAACACACATAACAAACGGCAAGAAAACGTCAAACTTAGGTCATTCACTATACATTCTACTAGGCCAATTTTTCCCCCCACCAGGATGCAATTCCCCTTCACCGCGACGTGGCGAGGGGGGCGGGGAGAGTCGGCTTCTCCCGAGTTAATACAACTGGTCCGAGCCGCCGATCGATGGGTGAAGTAACGAGACGAGCAGGAATTGGTGAACAAGGCCATAATCAAACAACTGCTGACATCAAATATCAAGTTAGGATTTAAAAGCGGAGAATTTGAATGCTTTTTTTAGTTGTTACATTTGCATGGGGCTACTAACATAGTTAACACGCATTGTTCTCTATTGATAAATTCGTCATACGAATGATTTCACCTCTTTAGCTGAACGACGTCTAGAAATGACTTGTAAATGAAAGAGGAAAAAAATCCAACGATTTCCAGTGTACCCACACAGACCCCGCGGGACAATGCGCCTCCCTCCCCTAAAGAAACCGTCAATGGCCAGAGAATAAAGGATTGGGTCCCACTTCAAGTTCAACTGCTGCCGATGAATCACAAACGTGTGACAAGGAATGGTCATTATGAGAGACTGGGTACCACACCAAGACTAGCCATGGGCGGGCTGTGAGTTATGCCATGATCTTTAGTTGAGCCTGACACCAAAGGACCAAGATCTTTATACAAGTCTTGCCTTAAGATCAAGATTTTTACACAAGCCTACCCATGGTACCAAGATTACACAAACTGAGCCATAGGACCATAAGATCTTATCTGAAGGCAAAGGCCATCTTTTGATATGGCCTCAGCAACATGAGCGAAAGGTCTTTACAGGCGGTACATAGTCAAGATCTTTATTCAAGTTTTTTCTAAGTTTTTGTCAACAAGATTTTTAACACCCAACAATGTAAACACCTTTTACAATTTCATGTATACAATACATTGCTTTACATCAAAGAACTTTATTGAGTGCTCATTCCTCATCTCCTACATAATAGAGTGAACATTTTTTCTAAAAAATCAGATCATACAAATGATATAAAAAAATGAGTGTGTGTGTGAGAGGGGGGTTCTTTATATAATATAACACTAGGCAAAAAATACTGCTTCTAAAAATTAACATACACACAGAGAAATTTTTTTAAAGCTCAGATTATTTTGGTTTTATATCTATTTATATTTAAACAAGACCCCAATAGTGATAAAGAAAAACCCAATGGTAACATAAACTGCAAAACTGTAGTGATGGCCCTGAAGTTAAACAATGCAGATATATCTGCAGCAATCAAATTATTTTTTATGGCTCCACAGGTGAACACCAGATTAAAGAAAAAAAAAATTGTTACAAACTGCACATAATGCCAGCCATGGCAATTTTTAAAAAAAAAATTAAACTTATAAAAATACAATTCATTTAAAAAATAAATGTTTTTGAATTAAGACAGTGATTTTTTTATTAAAAAAGGTCATTTGAGAGTGTAGGATTCTGACAGTTCATTAATAATTTTAACGAAAAGATGAATTCAAGCCATTTAGCCAATTTAATTGTTTTTTTAATTAGTGATGGTTGGTAAAACTGGATTAAACCATTTCATTCTTTTCTAAAATTGTCACTCCAGCATAATGTTGGTATTTTTAAAAATTAAGAAATTTTAATACAGCAAAACATAATTTTTTTTTTAGTTGACGCCGAACAAATTTAACTTGGACTAAAATTTAAAAAGTGCATTAAACAAAGCATGAGACCTTTTACTGGCCTAATGAAGACAAAGTAACAAAGGCTCCTTTTTTTTCTTTCAAAAAATTTAACAGGTTATGATGTACGAACATGAGTTTTTAAAAAATAATTACGAGTTCACTTATTTTTAACTCCAGTAAAGTAACAAATGTATGATTAAATTCAATATCAGTAGGCTTATGTTGAGTTGGGTGAATAGTAAACACATCTATTATTTATATATTATTAATATGATTTTAAAAATTAACAGGGACTAAAAACATTTCATGTTAGGATAAAACCAAAGCAGTGGGGAGAAGAGTAACTATCCATCAGACATTTATACAGCTAGAATTAGTATAATATAGCAAATACAAATATTGCAATCCCAAACATATTTAAAGTATTGTAAAGTAATAGTATCAGTGACTGGCGCTTTAAGAAAAAGTGTTGTATAGCTCACCAATAAAACTTCAAAAGGTTTCAAAGTGCTTCACAACTATTATTAATCCTAGTAATAAAAACTAAAAAGAATGACATAGTGATAGTCACTTTAAGTTATGTAGAAAAATAGTTCTAAATAGTAAATAGAAACTTGGTCTAAACTGAATTAGATGGTGGACCACTTTCTTACACAACTTATTAACATAAATTTCTACTTACAGTTACAATATGTTAATGAGACAATTTTGATCAGTTTGCCTATTTAACCAATTGCTAGTCTTAATTACTAATTTAGTTGTAGGGCCTACTTTTATAAAAAATTATTAGGCTATGGCTTAATGCTTACTGACAAAGTAATAGTTAATATTAATACAAACTAGACAATTAAGTACTGTAGGTTTATTTTATTTATAGCCTAATTACAAATTAGTAGCTAATAGGCCCTAAGTAATCTGCTTACAACTAGGGCTAAATAGTTTTATATTATTAGGCTACCTTCTGACAAATCTAGATCCAAACAACGGCTACATCTAAATCTACATTCTACATCTAGTTACAATGCTAAGTGACTAAACTAGAATTTAGTTTGAGTTGTCTGAACACACAAGTGGGACGGAGTGGTCTAGTGATAGAGCTGGACTGCTCAGTGCTAACCCGTAAGTTTCGAGTTCGAATCCGGGTTCAAGTCAGTAGACCGCCCCTGAGTCCACCCAACTCTGATGGGTACCTAACTCACGTTAGGGAGAGTAAAGGCGGCTGGGCATAGTGCTGTCCACACTATCTCTTCATATGCCGAGGTCACAGAAACAAGTGAACTCTACTTCACTTGCCCCATAGACCGTCAGGTTTGAAAGGGAAACTTACTTACTTGTCTGAACACAAATAGAGACTAGTAGTCTAGATTTAGTCTAGTTTTTTAATCTAGAATCTAGATAGATCTAGTAGTTCAGTAAAAATCAGTAAGAAGAATTAAATTATAAAAGACATTAAAAGAAGAAGCTTTGACGCCCTATCTAGATCTATAGCTATACATACTCTACTGAACTCTACTCTTCTTCTGTCCACTGTGGTAAAGTTGTGCTGGTAAAATTATGTAGATTCTACTAGAAATCTAGATTTCTAAAACTTTTTAAAAAGTATTACGCCCTAATTTTAAAAAGTATTAATGTAGAATGTAGTTGTAGTGTACTGTAGGCCCAGGCAGACACTGGACAGTGAAGTTCGCATTAGTTAGCATTAGAATTAGATTCTAAATCTATCTACAAGTAGGCCTATAGATTCATGAACAATATAATAAAACTTACAAAGAAAGAAGTTCTGCTTCTTGTGTCAAATATGAAGTATAATGATCCAAACAGAAGAAAAACTAGCAGTCTCAGAAAAAAAAACGGGACCACCAGTTAGTTGAATTGTAGTTTGCGAGACCTGCTAGGGGTGGGCTGGGGTTAGCACAGGAACTTCGAAAAATGAAGAGCTCTAGTTGTTTGCTTTGACCTCTTCCTATTTTGAGTGTAAAATATAAATCCAATAAAAACGAATAAGATCTACACTAGAACATTAACTCGAAGAATTAATTCTTAATCCATTGTGCACGGAGCAAAAACAGACCGAAAGTCATTCCTAACAATAAATATTTACCCCATTGACTTAATCAACAGCCAATACTATCCGTCAGCCAGGAAAGAACGACAATCAAATGCTGGCGATAAAAAGTTATCCAGATTTTCGTAGAAACTCTTACTTCGATCTAATTTCAAAACGCATTTATCTGTGTGGAAATAAACTATATATAGATAGTTAGAAATATAACTGATGTAATGTTATGCTAAATATTTTTAATTATATGATGTGAAATACTTATAAGTAATATAAGAAAAATATTTGCTTTAAAATTTTGAACTGAAATGTAGCCAAACCTAGAATTTTGTACCTGCATAATTTTAGCAAATTTATAAAAAGTTTTTATCTCAAGTTATAAAATTAGTCGAGAGATATTTTATTCATTGTAAAAGTTCACTAATTGAGGAAAATACATCGGTGAATATTCTATAGAAAATAGCCTTATTTTATTTTAACTATACGCTAAATCTGGGCATATCTTCACTTTCTATTCTAAATGGCCTTTTAGAAAAATACTCTTCATCACTAAACGTTTCTTTCCATATATAGATCTATCTATATTATGGGTAAACCTCTAAGATTTAAGACCAAGTGTATACTTAACAGTCTCTAGAGCATATGGTTAATTTGAAGCTATTAGCAACTTTCGTTCTGTGGGTTTCTAAAATTGAATTCACACTGGCTTACCATTTTGTTTTGATCGTCATCATTTGAGTGATAACTTAACTAATCGAGTGGTTTAAATTACAATTTTAAAATAAAGATCCATGTTCATATAAAACCGTAAACACAGGAGGTACAATGATTTCATTTTATTCTAAGCAAGTGTTTTATGTGCAGGCCTATAGAAAATCACAGAAAGATTGTCACTAAGGTTGCCCACTACTATAGCATAATAGCAATCGATGTGTATGTTTTAAAAAGTTAATTAGTGGAATGTTCATTTATGTTAAAAAGATCTATGGGAATATTTAGGTCGGGTTGGGGGTGTGTAGGGAGGGGGGGGGGGGCGGAGAATTGTGGTGCCTTTTTGGGAGTTTTGTGTCAACGTGTGACAATCGGGTGAGGGGGTAATTCGACTTTAAACGCATAGCGTGATTAATGAGGGAATACTGTAATAAAATTACAGTTAGGCAAGCCTCCCCTCCCCCACATATGTTATGTCAAACTATTCAAGTTTTAACTGCATTACTTGTGTGGGGGGGGGGGATTTCGATACAGAGCAGGAAAGTTAAGCAGTAAGTAGTTTGATGTAATGTTAGGCTGATAGTTCTATGGTAATATTGGTAATGTTAGGATAGTAGGTGGATCATGGATGGTAGTGTGGGGATGGTAGTTGGATGGTAATGTGGGGATGGTAGTTAGATGGTAATGTTAAGTTGATAGTTGGGCGGTAATGTTAGGATGGTAGTTGGATGGTAATGGTACAGCGCAAAGTTACAAACGGTAATATTTTAAATTTTAAATACATATTTTTGATAAGTTTTTGCATTACAGAAAGGTTGGAAAATGACATGTAAAATCTGCTACTATTCAAGCTGTTAGAATCATAAGAAGAGACTTTCTATAAAAACAAAGTCACTCCTATAAACTTTTTTAAAAAAAGCTATTTTGAATTATATCGTAGCTTGAGGTGGGTGGAATGGGGGGGGGGGGGGAGTTTATGAACATGTTAAGTAACTTTTTAATCGGCGGAAAAGTTTATAATTTTATATTTCTTTAGGAGGGGGGGGGGGGGGGGGGGGTAAATGTCCAATTTAAAAAATTATTTAACTTTTGTAAGAACTCTAAATGTATGACTAACATAACAGTGAAGTAAAATTACTCTTTTGGACTATGACGATCTGAATGGCTGATGAAGTAGAGTTCATCTGTTTCTTGACCTCGGCATATGAAGTAATGGTGTAATGAATCAGACCAGCGAACGATCATTAGACCAGCGAACGATCATCAGACCAGCAAACGATCATTAGACCAGCGAACGATCATCAGACCAGCAAACGATCATCAGACCAGCGAACGATCATCCGACCAGCGAACGATCATCAGACCAGCATACGACCATTAGACCAGCGAACGATCATCAGACCAGCAAACGATCATCAGACCAGCGAACGATCATCCGACCAGCGAACGATCATCAGACCAGCATACGACCATTAGACCAGCGAACGATCATCAGACCAGCGAACGATCATCAGACCAGCGAACGATCATCCGACCAGCATACGACCATTAGACCAGCGAACGATCATCAGACCAGCGAACGATCATCAGACCAGCGAACGATCATCAGACCAGCGAACGATCATCAGACCAGCGAACGATCATCAGACCAGCAAACGATCATCAGACCAGCGAACGATCATCCGACCAGCGAACGATCATCAGACCAGCATACGACCATTAGACCAGCAAACGATCATCAGACCAGCGAACGATCATCCGACCAGCGAACGATCATCAGACCAGCATACGACCATTAGACCAGCGAACGATCATCAGACCAGCGAACGATCATCAGACCAGCGAACGATCATCAGACCAGCGAACGATCATCAGACCAGCGAACGATCATCAGACCAGCGAACGATCATCAGACCAGCGAACGATCATCAGACCAGCGAACGATCATCAGACCAGCGAACGATCATCAGACCAGCAAACGATCATCAGACCAGCGAACGATCATCCGACCAGCGAACGATCATCAGACCAGCATACGACCATTAGACCAGCAAACGATCATCAGACCAGCGAACGATCATCCGACCAGCGAACGATCATCAGACCAGCATACGACCATTAGACCAGCGAACGATCATCAGACCAGCGAACGATCATCAGACCAGCGAACGATCATCAGACCAGCGAACGATCATCAGACCAGCGAACGATCATCAGACCAGCGAACGATCATCAGACCAGCGAACGATCATCAGACCAGCGAACGATCATTAGACCAGCGAACGATCATCAGACCAGCGAACGATCATTAGACCAGCGAACGATCATCAGACCAGCGAACGATCATTCGACAAACGACTCACCAACCGACTTGCGGACCAATGGTGAGTGGATTTCTCTAAAAAGATATCAAACCCAGATAGAATTTCCCGACTAAATCAAATAAAAAACGAAACTCACTCAAGATCGCCCCGGCGTTTAATGGCTTGCGCAACACACTTGCGCAATAGTTATCCTCCTTTTTGTTCACGTTAGCGATTAGTTCCCCTTTTGTTCTCACTGCGATTAGTTCCCCTTTTGTTTTGTTTTTTTACTTAAAAAAATCATTTGTGTTGCAATGGCGACCTGTGTCTTTAAAACAGCTGTGGTGGACATCATTTCTCTGTTAACAAAATTAAAAAACGAACAAACACATTTGAAAACTGATCCGAGATTACTACTGAAACATAGTTAAGGTAGAAAGTGTAAAACTTGAAAGCAAAAAATGCAAGCCGTGATCAATTGCTTTATCACGAAGGAGAAGCGAGTGGTTTCAATTCATCGATATTTGAAAGTTACATGCACAATATATTTTTTTTTACAAAACACACACACAGACACATATATGAATAAATATTGAATCAGGGTTATGCGTGATTTTCTCAAAAGTCCATATTTGCATATAGTATATAGACTTTTAATTGGAAAAATAATATATTTCTTAAACCTGGGCAATGCGTTTGCGTTGTATATGCTGCTTAATAAACACACAAGTCACGGTGTTTTACAGATAGGTTTTTCACAGAGGCCAGTGCAGGACCTGGCCGGGACGGCTAGTATATATATATATATATATATATATATATATATATATATATATATATATATATATATATATATATATATATATATATATATATATATAAACGCTGATAAAAAAAGACTTGTCCCGAGCTTGGCAAATAAAAGTGGTATTTGATGAGGAGAAAAAAAGTGGTTTTTATTTTTTTTAAAGCGCCAAACGCAAAACCACTCCTGATACCCCCGTCCTGCGACGTTCATTAAAAACATTCAAGCCTGTCCATCAGGAGGCATTTTTAAAACACAGTTATACCCCTTTTCTCCAGTCCACTTGCGTCCCTTTGCTAATTGCAGCCCCTTCCCTCTTTCTCCCTACCACCCCCCTCCCCTTCTCCCCCACTGTGCAAATTTTTGCATTGCCGCTGTCGTCAAAGATTTATACTGTGATATAAAACGGTATATAACACGGGTGCAAGCAAATTTTTTTTTTAATTACTCCATGAGAAGTTAGCATAAGATGTGTAGGCCTATTTGATTCTAGTTTTAGAAATTGAATCAATTTAAGTTCAATCTTCCACAGCTTTGTAGACCTATATGTGTAAAGTCGCAGGTTAAAGGCCGATGTATAGAGGCATAGATTGTAGGCCTGTGTAAAGTAACAGGCTAAAGGCCGATAGTTTGTAGGCCTATCTGTGTAAAGAAAGAGATAGTAGGCTATACCAGTATAGGAGCGAGAAAGTTTACACGGGTTATGTACCTTAAATTGATGAATTCATTTTATTTTTGTACTCTTTTAAAAATACTTGTGCTCAGCTCGGCTATATGAAATACATTATTTGTACTCAGGTAAGCTTTATGAAAATGAAATACATTATTTGGGCTCAGCTAGGCTATATATTTGCCAAACCAAAGCCAATCCACCCTACCCCTTCCCCCAAAGGTATCTGACAGAATCAAATAACAGTCAACACCAGGAATTATGAAACGAATAATCTTTGTCGAGATTCGAACTTAACTACCTTATTGCTAAGTTATCATCTACTCACCTTCTTAATGAGATATATTACACAAAATAAAATTTAAAAAAAAAATAATTAAAGATTTAAAATTAGTGTTGGGGGCTTTATTGGGAACGCTGGCTTAAAAAAAAATTATCTTAGCATACAAGCCGGTTTTCCGGCCGGTTGGAAAAGGTTACCTAATCATCGAACCGGCACGAATACATCATTAGATAGGGAAGTGGGGGGGGGGGGGGGGTAGAATTACAAGCTCCTGTGATATTTTCATAAGCTGTGCCTCAGGTCGAGGGGGTGGGGTTGTAAGCGGAAGATTCCTTACTCAAACAATAGCCGACCAAACAGATTTATATTTCTATAAATAGTGTAAAATCAATGGAACACAATGTTAAGGTTATTTTGTCTGGTTATTTTTTCAACAGATTGCCGTGTAAACGCGCTGGATTTCTGAGAACTTCTGCCAGTGACTTTTTAGCAAACTCGAGTCAAATTGTACGACAATCTAGCATTGCCAATTTGGCATGTGGGCAGCCCAACGAAAGGTTGGCGGACACACCACTCGATTCGGCCTACCGTCTCATAAAAATCAGCCCGATCTGTTATTATGAAACAGCTCATTGAGATCACGGTATTCGCTGATAAAACAAGGGGAGGGAAGAATATATATAAATCGGAAGGGAAAGAGTTATCTGCCTTTTTTTTTTATCTTTGACCGTGTGCGGGCAGCCTTATAAATCTTTGACCACTGGTCACTCGGCGCATCAAAGCGGATGGAAGGAGAGAGATAAATCGATGAGAGATGGGTGGGGGAGGGGAGAGGGGGGGGGAGGGGATGACTTGCGTGTGGAAACACTGACTAAGACGAGTGAGACGAGGGAAAGAGACGGAGGGTGAGGCGAGAGAAAGAAAATTGGAATTAGGCGAGTAAACAAGGGGGCGGGTCGTAAGTGGCGGGGTGGGTGGGTGGGGGGGGGGGGGGGTATCTGGGTGTAGCGCCTCGCCCGTGTGGGGGGCGATATGGGTCACGTGGTTGAAAATTGCCTGTCACGTGATGTCACTAACAATCACCATGACGACTAACTAAGCCCAGATGCTCAGTTTCGTCAGACCATTGTTAACAAGGCGGGGGAGGATTGAGGGGTGGGCTAACAATGCCACCGAAAATTTTAGGGCCATACACAAATAGTTACAAATAGTTACTCTTGGTTATGACAAAAATAAATAAATAAACAATCATAATAGTCACAAGGACCCCCCGATAATCAGGCTTGATACTCTCCTTCATGGTGCGGGTGTAGATTGGGGAGGCGGGGGGGGGGGGGGGCGTGTGTTAGTTGTGGGGTTAGCGTTACCAAGGTCTCACTGTATCTGGGATCGTGATACAGTAATAATTATACATAGAGGGTTCATGGTCAACGTTACCTCTAAGGAGAAAAAGCTAATGTGCAACGTGTATTTTTGTGTGGCGGTGTTGTAAAAGTCTTATACAAGGATACATGTATTTTAAAAAACAACTGTTCTAAAAGTCTTATACAAGGATATATGTATTTTACAAAACGACTGTTCTAAACGACTGTTTCGAAGGTTCAAAACTTCCGTGCGGCCGTGCAACCACACAGATTAGTTAGAGGGAACATGGTAATAGTTCGGGTTTTAGAAGGTTGGAGGGGGATATACTTTGACAATTAAAATCTCTGTATAATAATAGTAGTTGTAGAAGCTACTATACAGTGTAATAATCGACGAACTATTTACAGCAGAGGTTTATAGCCTGTAAATAGGGTCATGTAAACAGATATTTAAAGCTGAAACTAGACTGACATTTTAAACTAACTCATTAATTAGTCAGTCTACAATTGCTTTATTATCACATTGCTAGTTTAACATTTTGAAAGAAATTCAGTTAGTCTACAGCAGTTTCATATAGTAAAGGTAAAGAACTGTGTTAATGTTAATGATGTTTTTGTCTTATTGAGTTACCTCGCTTTTGTACACATGTTCGATTCAGATGACAAAATGATTTAGAATTATAATTTTGTTTTATAAAATATTCAAAGTAGATCTAACTGTTATGGGTCATTTTTATTTTTGGTTAGAATAATTTAGAATAGTCTAGAACTTAGGGAAAGTCCATAGCGAGTCAACCCCCGGGTGTCTATGTATTTTATCCCAAGGTAGAATGTGTGAATAAAAGCGGTGTGAACGATTGGGGGGGGGGGGGGGGGGCTGTATGTGGTTGATTTACTGGTAGAAGCTTGTTGATGTCTGGAAATTGTGTGTATTTATAAGGATATGATAATAAAGGTGTAAAAAGTATTGTGTAGTCTCTATAGACGTTATTTAATTCGACGCTAACACTTACGCTTCATAAGGTAGGTAAAGTAGTTTTCATTTGGTTAGCGTAATAATATGGAGCTGTAATGAAATGGAGCTGTAACAAAATCCTTGCCACGATGACTGTGTGGACTCATTGTAATCTTAACGAGCTTTACGATAGACCAGGTGTTGTTTAAATTAAGGCGTCATCTTCTTAAATAAAATTAGTGAAACGATGTTAGTGATAGATTAGTTGGGCTCAATGTTAATTTATGAAGACATGGTATTTAGTAAGGTAAGATCTGTAAAGGTCTCAAATGAGTTGGCACATAATATGACATAAACGCCTTAGTCACATGGAGTGTGACGTAATTTTGGTGTGTGTGTGTGTGGGGGGGGGGGGGTGGGGGGTGGGGTCGAGTCTGACTTGTATGTCAAAATGTGGTGATGGGGTGGGTGTAAAAAGGTGTGGTCAAACAGGAACAAAAGTTGTCTTTTATGGACGACCCTTTACATAAGCTAATGTAATATTTTCGTCTTATACGATTCTTTCTGCACTGCCAGCTTGACCTTGACCGAATGATATCTCGTGAGATTTCCACAAACTAGGACGAGACCTCCTGCTTAAAATACCTTTCACCTCAGTGATCAATATCTGCAATCATTTATATTCCCTGAAGTATATAAATATATATCCCCAAACGGTGTACTATAATCAATACAACAAATCTAAATGCAGTTAAAAAAATATTCTCCCAATGTCGCGAGGCCAAGTTTAGAATAGACTGACAAACACGATACAACGCTTCCCCAACCCGCCCTCTTATACCAGCCGTAAAAGAAATTTACTTCCATGTAGGGACATGCCAGGACGCTCTCTAGCCTCCCACTCCCAACTTCCTTATTGAACTTATACCTCATATACATAACTCCCAATTTACGCTGTGTAGAACACACCATTTAACTTGGTCCTATATAGATCCCGACCTTGGTCTCGCACAGTGGCCAGATAAATATTATTAATTGTATGTTTAAAGCTCTAACAAGTAAAAATTGTAGACTGGTGTAATAGTTTTGTATAAGAATGTCTTAAAGTTTTTAGTGCAACGAACTAATGTCAAGATTAAAAGCAGATCTAAATTAGAACAGTGGATATGTTTAGCATGTGTTGCTTCTGTTTCAAAAAGAGGAAATCGGCTGATGTTTACACTGTCGATGGTGTTTCATATACTCGTAGGGACCAGTTGGGGGAAAACCAAGCGGGGAGAGGCAGCGGTTCAAATCCCACTCGGACGACCAGAGAAGGTAAGTACACAAACCATCGACTGAGAGACAGATGAGACTGTAGGTCTAGAATTATTTAATGAGACTGTAGGTCTAGAATTATTTAACACGATGTTAATTAAATCAGGTCTAATAGTTCCACTCCCACCCCAATAACAACGGTGATAACAGAAATATAACATTTTATTTCAGAGAAATAAAAATCCTACCTTGCTTATCCCCACCCCCTTTTAGTGTTACAAATGACAGACTTTAGTATTATATATCGTCATCGTTACAAAAGACAGACACATTTTTTAGGTTTGAAATGTTGCAGTCTGGAAAGCACCCACTTCCCACTCCTGCACCCCCCCCCCCTACACAGACACACACACACATAGGTACGTGGGTCGTGGTCTGAGAGATACTGGTAGATAATACTGCGTAGTGCGAACCCACTGTATAGTGTGGCTTCATTTACAGAGGTTTCCCCAAGTCTGCTACGTGGGTTTTGTAAAGACCCCAATCAATAGACATGAACATGGTTCGTGTAGAAATGTCAACATCACGTCCTAAGTCAGTGTACCGTGATGTTGCACAAGACAGGAGGCCTTAAGAAAGCTGAATGTTTTGGTTAGGTTGATGTGGGAACCGGAGAATATAGGCCTAACTGGCGCTTCTTGCGATCTAATTTTTTGTAATTGAATAAAATATACATTACAAATAACATTACAACATTAACAAATAATGACTAATTAGAGTAAAAATAAGATATTTTTGCGTTGTCGTCGGATTCGAATGTATTCAAACGAAAAATCTATATTACAAGTCATTAAGTCCAAATATATGCCACAGACAGACGAAAAAAACAGATAGACGAGAGAACAGATAGACGAAAGAACAGACTGAAGTAAATAAAAGCTTATGAAAACGATTATTGTGTTATTGCAGCCCAGACTCAAACTATAGAGAACTATGCTCAATGGTCCAAACCTTCAGACATTAGACTCAATTCTAGCTCAGTGGACATCATCAATAGCCAGTATGAAGAACACATGTACCAAAGTTACCTGCAATTCTGGAACAATTATAGGAAGAGTCGACCAGCCAATAGGCATAGACCACGAAGGTAAATGGTTGAGGGCAGTGTTTCTACCAGACTTTTTTCTCCGGGGGGAGGGGGGGGCACTTGAAATTTTCGAGTGGACGGTAGACTTTCTTCGGGGAGGAGGGGCGGACACTGTTAAAAGTATATATTTTCTATATAAAGTTCATTTCATTCGGGGGTGGGGGGTCGGGGGTGGGAGGGGGGGGGGGGGGGACGACGACGACGACGACACCGGTAGACTTTCTTCGGGGGGGGGGGGGGGGCGGGGCAGGGCCTGGAAGAAACTCAAGTTGAGGGAAGTGAAGGGGGCGGGAGGGACGGAGGTTGTTCTTTCGGATTTGAAGATGCAAAAACACTATTATAATCTAGTATTCTCTAAATAATGTTGCACCCTACCCATATGATCTGGAGCAGGTCAGCCTCCCCCCCCCCCCCTGTCAATACCCACAGGACACCCCCGGCAGTTACAAATGGGTAATAACTACGGGGGGGGGGGTAATGTCTGGGGGAAATGTATGGGGAGGGGGGGGGGGGTTAATACCATAATTTATTGAATAAGTGACCGAAAATGTCAATAAACTGGCTATGAAGCGTGAAATAGTTTTTGAACATTACATTCAACTAGCCGTCCCGGCCAGGCCCTGCTCTGGCTTCTGTGAAAAACCTTTCTGTTAAAGACCATTACCTGTGTGTTTAGTAATCATCATAAACCCGGCATTGCCCACCCAAACCACAACCAACCAAAACAACAAAACGCAAACATAACGCTAACACAATTACAAATACAAACGAAAACAAAAACCTAACAACAAACCCAACCACAACCACAAACACCAATACAAACACAAAGAAAAAACAAACAAAAAAGCAAACGAAAACAAAAACCTAACAACAAACCCAACCACAAACACCAATACCAACACAAAAAAAAACAACGAAAAAGCAAACGAAAACAAACCAAATCCAAACGCAAAACCAACCAAAAACACAAATACAAACCCAAGCAAAAAAACACAAACAAAAACGAAAAAAAAAAGAACAAAAACGAACCAAATCAAAACGCAACCACTAACGCAAACCCACCTAAACACAAAGAAAACACTAACGCGAACATAAACGCCCGGGGCGGAATCACCTGTTTTAGCTTAATGAACGACTATAGTACCCCAACTTATTCATAATCTTTTGCACTCACTTAAACGAACGCGCCTGTTTCTATTTAATGAACAATTTTAATACTCCAAGCTTATCCGTAAAATACCTACAACATTTGCACTTGATCAATCCCCGCTGATTATGTAATTATTATTTTTTTCCCAACACCAAAACAAAGTAATAAAAAAGTAAATTATTTTCCACAAAAGCAATGGTTTTATAAAGGGAAGTAGTTTTGTTTTCCTAATTTATCAAAGGGAAGTAAGTGCTATAGGACTAAATAATGACATAATTAGAATTTTTGTAAAAGATGATATTTTTTTAAAAACTTGTGTTTAATGAACATGCCGACAATTATTACTATAATTTGAAAAATGAAAATTATTTCCCAACACTTTCAATAGTAATTTTTTAGCTCATACATTTAGACAAATGCGCACGATAATTTTCTAACACTTAAATTCATCCAATTCCAACGACAAACATATGCATTACATACAGAACTGAGCTTTATATATTAGATCAGTATTGGATTATTAAAAGCCTTTTTGTTCGACATTTTCCCCGGCTTTATTTGGCGCCTAAGTCAGGGGTCGGCAACCTGCGGCTCGCGAGCCGCATGCGGCTCTTTTGATATCAAGATGCGGCTCTCCAGCTCCTTGAACAAATACTAATAATCTTAATAAAAAAATAAAATGTTTGAAATAAAAAAAATGTTAGTGGCTCTTTAAAACCAGGGAAATTTTGAAAATTGTAACTTTTGGCTCTTCAGCTTCAAAAGGTTGCCGACCCCTGGCCTAAGTGGTTGTTTAAATTGTAAAATTGTGTACATAATTTTGCCGTGCGTACAAGACTTGTGTATCAGTATGTACATTTACTTTTATCAGTATTACTCTGCAGTATTGGAGAGTTCGGGGAGAGAGGAGGCTTTTCTACCTCGTAGATTAGAGGTTAGAGGGAGGCGACATTTTACGCGTGATTTCTTGCCGAATTCTGTCAGCAAAATAATTTACACACAACAGATTATCGTATAGTTTTATACATTTTTCACATGTTGAAATACTTTATTTTTTAGACCCCGTCCCCGAAAACCGGACCAGGTGCACATAGACGCAAAGAATGTCGTTATAAGCGGCCAGCTGTACACCGGGAACTACGAGAGGAACCTTCCGGGTGTGTATGTGCTTAAGGATAACAAAGGCTCCAGGGAAACTGTTGTCTAGTACACCCGTTTATTTCTGTGGTGACGTCTCAGTTGGTTCTGGGAGGCTATAGAGGCTCTAAGCCCAGCGATGATTAGTACTGAGAGTGTGTTACACCTCATGTTTAGTACTGGCAAGATGTGAGATCAGCTAAGTTTAGTACTGGCATGATGTGAGATCAGCTAAGTTTAGTACTGGCATGATGTGAGATCAGCTAAGTTTAGTACTGGCATGATGTGAGATCAGCTAAGTTTAGTACTGGCAAGATATGAGCTCAACTAAGTTTAGTACTGGCAAGATACGAGATCAGCTAAGTTTAGTACTGGCAAGATGTGAGATTAGCTAAGTTTAGTACTGGCAAGATGTGAGATCAGCTAAGTTTAGTACTGGCAAGATATGAGATCAGCTAAGTTTAGTACTGGCAAGATATGAGATCAGCTAAGTTTAGTACTGGCAAGATGTGAGATTAGCTAAGTTTAGTACTGGCAAGATGTGAGATCAGCTAAGTTTAGTACTGGCAAGATGTGAGATCAGCTAAGTTTAGTACTGGCAAGATATGAGATCAGCTAAGTTTAGTACTGGCAAGATATGAGATCAGCTAAGTTTAGTACTGGCAAGATATGAGCCCCCCAGCTAAGTTTAGTACTGACAAGATATGAGATCAGCTAAGTTTAGTACTGGCAAGATGTTAGATCAGCTAAGTTTAGTACTGGCAAGATGTGAGATTAGCTAAGTTTAGTACTGGCAAGATGTGAGATCAGCTAAGTTTAGTACTGGCAAGATGTGAGATCAGCTAAGTTTAGTACTGGCAAGATATGAGATCAGCTAAGTTTAGTACTGGCAAGATATGAGATCAGCTAAGTTTAGTACTGGCAAGATATGAGCCCCCCAGCTAAGTTTAGTACTGACAAGATATGAGATCAGCTAAGTTCAGTTTTCCCTCAAGGAAATAGAAAGTAAGGAACGCCTAGGGAGACGTGGAGGCGCACGGCGGGGAAGCAGCTGGCAGAGGCAGGACTGTCATGGGGGACTGCTAGGAAGCAGCCGGCAGAGGCAGGACTGTCATGGGGGACTGCCAGGTAGCAGCTGGCAGAGGCAGGACTGTCATGGGGGACTGCCTGAAAGAAGCTGACAGAGGCAGGACTGTCATGGGGGACTGCCAGGAAAATTGTCGGTGACGGACTCATGGAAAGAGAGCTTTCTGTGGCGGCCCTACGTGTCTTGGGCATAAAAAGGAAAAAATGATGATGACGTTTAGCACTGACTAGATATGAGCCCAACTAAGTTTAGTACTCAAATTAAACATTCAATAATTTTTACAAGAGTCCACACTCGTAGGATTCCCGGATCCCACATACCTGTGTAACGGGTCCCACATACCTGTGTAACGGATCCCAAATACCTGTGTAACGGGTCCCACATACCTTGGTAACGGGTCCATAATACCTGTGTAACGGATCCCACATACCTATGTAACGGGTCCCACATGTCTGTGTAACGGATCCCACATACCTGTGTACCGGGTCCAACATTTCTTCAGTACCGCGGCCCGCCCACCATGAGTACTTGGGCCCGTCCAAAGTACCATGTCCCACATACATCAGTACCAACATAACTATGTATCGGAACCCGCACATTATCCCACATTGTCTGATAACACATCTATTTATCTATGTAAAAAATTGCATCAATAATATCCTAGAAATAAAAAATTTCCATTTATTGAACAATTTATTTTCCCTTTGTTGAGTTTATTCTCCATAGTGTCTTCAAACAAACGGTGCTAATAGAAGCTTATAAACAACTAATTAATGTCCTTAATTGATGTAGAAGCATCAAATCCAAGCCAAGAGGCCACATTTTTAAGTAATTTGTCCTGGATTGGATTATAGCAGTGGCGTAGCGAGGGGAGGGTAGGGGCGGAGCGGGGGGTGCGGACCGCACTGGGTGACACCATTTAGAGGGGTGATAACCAATGCAAAAAATAGCAAAATGTATAGAAAAAAATGATAATTCCACTTAATTAAGTGATTAATTCGAGAGTCTTTTAAGAGGTGTAAATCCAAAGTTTAGGGGGGGGGGTGCAAATCGAAAATTTAAAGTTTGTCCCCGGGAAGGGCCGCTACGCCTCGGGGGGAGGGGGGGGGGGGTGACACCATTAAGTGCCACACCGGGTGACACCCGACCTCGCTACGCAAGTGGATTATAGTTAATAGTTACTAATGGCTGTGGTATAAGGAGGTACGGCTATCCAAAAATTGGTTTTTATTGATGATGTCATGGAGCTTAAACCCTTTGAAGTCAAGCGGTAATACAGGCCATACACCACCTTAAGCTCAGCGATCAGATCGTCAGAAAATGTGCTTGGTTTATCGCCCCTGCGTCATGGATTGCATCAAGTCTGGGGTAAACACGTGTTGCTGGATCGAAACTATGTTGGACGACAGCTGGGGGAATATGGAGGGGGGTGGGGGGCTGGAGGAAGGTGGGGGAGTGTGTGAATGTTGGTGTGTGTGTGTGGTGGGGGGGGGGCTGTGTACGTGGTCGTCTGGTCATGTGTGGTTGTGGGCCCTACATATGCATTTATATTTAAGGTGCATGATTATGTTCGTGAGTATGTATACATTTAAATATACATTTCTACATACACATATATACATATACCAGGGGTCGGCAACCTTTTGAAGCGGAAGAGCCAAAATTTACAATTTTCAAAATTTCCCTGGTTTGAAAGAGCCACTAACAATTTTTTATTTCAAATATTTCATTTTTTTATTAAGATTATTAGTATTTGTTCAAGGAGCTGGAGAGCGCATCTTGATATCAAAAGAGCCGCATGCGGCTCGCGAGCCGCAGGTTGCCGACCCCTGACATATACTTATTGTTGTGTATATGTGTATATGCGTATTGTGTGTGACCGCTTGTATGTGTTTATGGACGTGGGTTTGCTCGCGTGTATTTACGTGTACGTGTACGTGTATGTAGTCCTACGTGTTGAGATTATGTGGAGTGGAGTGTGAACACTATCTTGAATGTACGTGTACGTGTACGTGTACGTGTATGTAGTCCTACGTGCTGAGATTATGTGGAGTGGAGTGTGAACACTATCTTGAATAGTAAAGCCGATCACCAGCTTATGCAAGTCTTAATCTCCAATCTAAATTTACCTTGTATTAAACCTATAATTCCCTCCCCTTGTGGGCGGAGTAAAAGTTTATTCCCTCCCTTACATCGCTAAGTTCACTCGCATTCCCACATGCAAAGTTTTGAGATTCGCTTCTTTGTGGCGTAGGCCTACATTAAAAAATATACATACGTAGACATATATTTGATGTATTTGTGAAATTGTTGCGTAGTTTGTAAAAGAGATATTTAAACATTTTTATTTACTTAGACTTAGATGAACTTTTCAGTTAGAAAAAAATAGATTTTTTAAATCATGACCAGTAAGGCATTGTAGATTACACTACACAAATGTGTTGATAACATATCGACAGTAACATACATACAACAAAACAAAGTAAATAAAAACGATTTTTTTAAATTTATAAACCAAATAGTTTAAAAACAAATGATTGAAGTTTGGATCAAATACCATTTTTAGCAGAAAAAACAAACACGGTTAACTAATTAAAAAAAAAACACGGAGGAGTGATTGGAACCCAGGCTGCTCTTCTTTTTGAAAATAACATTTGTACCACTTCTTCTTGCACGCTGGGGTGATATTACCACCAGAGGTGTCACCCGGTGCGGCACTTAATGGTGTGACCCCCCCCCCCCCCAGAGGCGTAGCGACCGTTCCCCTGCGCCCGGGAACAAACTTTCAATTTTCGATTTGCACCACCCCCCCTCAAACTTTCGATCTGGACCAGTGGCGTAGCCAGGATCGTCTCAAGGGGGGGGGGGGTTTCCAATTTTTACCCGGGGACAAACTTTCGATTTGCACCCCCCCCCCCCTCAAACTTTCGATTTGCACCCCCCCCCTTCAAACTTTCGGTTTGCACCCCCCCTCAAACTTTCGATTAGCACCCCCCCTCATACTTTTTATATATACCGAGGGGTCTATGGGGTGGGGGGGGGGGGTTATGACCCCCCCTAACCCCCCCCCCCCCTGCCTACGCCACTGATCTGGACACCCCCCCCCCCCCCACCGTTGTCGGGATTTGTCAAATTTGCTCTTAAAAGACTATTTAACACTCGAATAAATCCCTTAATTAAGTGGAATTATCATTTTTCTCTATATATTTTGCTTTTTTTGCCTTGGTATCAACGCCCTAAATGGTGTCACCCGGTGCGGTACGCATCCCCGCCCCGCCCCCCCCCCTCTCGCTACGCCACTGATTATCACTGATATTATCACTGACATTATCACTGACATTATCACTGACATTATCACTGACATTATCACTGACATTATCACTGACATTATCACTGACATTACCACTGACATTATCACTGACATTATCACTGACATTATCACTGACATTATCACTGACATTATCACTGACATTATCACTGACATTATCACTGACATTATCACTGACATTATCACTGACATTATCACTGACATTATCACTGACATTATCACTGACATCACTGACATTAACACTGACATTAACACTGACATTATCACTGACATTATCACTGACACTATCACTGACATTATCACTGAAGTTATCACTGACATTATCACTGACATTATCACTGACATTATAACTTATATTATCACTGATATTATCACTGACATTATCACTGACATCACTGACATGAACACTGACATTAACACTGACATTATCACTGACATTATCACTGACATTATCACTGACATTATCACTGACATCACTGACATTAACACTGACATTATCACTGATATTAACACTGATAATTAATTTTCCGAAAGTCCTAGATCTACATAAATGACAGACGTGTGTTGATATGATTGCAGAACTGGGTCAACTTCCATCAACTTTGACCCACGTGACGTCATATAGTCACGTGGTGTACGTCATGTGATTCACAATTCCGTCCAGCTGTTACTTCCAAAATAAAAACAACATGTAGGGATTGTAGGCTTATGTATTATACGGCCCAGCAGATCCATTTAACACGACCATAAATTTTAAATTTTTGGATTTAATTTAAAATTGAATTTTAAAATACGACCGTTACATATCAATTATACTTGCTGATTAGATAGGTGCCCGTGGATGTTTCTTTCAGTTGCGTCATGCCATGGGTCTTGACTAGGTAGAGGTGGCTATTTTGTTGGTTTTTGATGGTATTGGTGGTGGTAAAAGTGGTTGTGGTTGTAGTTGTTGTAGTGGAGGTAGTGGTAGTAGCGACGGTAATGGTGATAGTGGTGATAGTGGTGATAAGTGTCAATCTCTATTACTCCACTTCCTTAAGTGAGGTGCTGGGTGTTTGGGTAAAACATAAAACACTAATTACATTAATTGGTGGGCTATCAGGATTGTATTGACAAACACATAATACTGATGAGATGGCGTTACCTAGTGTCCAGGAATTCGAGGGCTGGTTCCTGGGCTCGTGTACGGTGTAAAAACCTTGAGCTCACCCAGCTCTATTGAGTACCCGACTCGATGGTTTTTCTGCTGACCACACGTTTCCTTCACCAAGCAAGGTCAATCCAATTTATTACATCTGTCCCGTTGATCTTAAAATTTTATTCTTAAAAATCGAAGTTAAAATATTTGGAGGGTGATGTTTTAAGTAAAATTCAAAGAAAAAAATCATTACCTGTGGGTTAAATTAAAAGAAATTATTCTAGCGTAAAATGTTTCAGAAGATTTTGTACAGGTGCCGGTGTGAAAATGGTGGGGGTATAGGGGGTGGAGGAGTCACTGGTCAATACTAATCTCAACGTGACGTCATAAGCCGAATGTTGAAGCAGTAATCTGCGTCGCCAGGATCGATTTGAAATCGATCACAACAGTTGCACGAGTTTTCATAAGAGCTGCTTTCTCGAGGCGTAAATTTTGTTGTCGTTTTATCACGCGGTTCAATTGTAGGAAGTGTGATGTTACTGTGATGTTAGGGTGATGTTAGTGTGATGTTAGTGTGATGTTAGTGTGGTGTTTAAGTGGTTTTAGGGAGATGTTAGTGTGATGTTTATGATGTTATAGTGGTTATAGAGAGATGTCAGTTTGATTTTTCACGTACATGAGTACCATAGTGATTTTCGTATTTATGGACTGTGTTGTGGATTTTCTGTTTAAATAACTATATATATATATATATATATATATATATATATATATATATATATATATATATATATATATATATATATAATGTTTTTATGTGCACTTATTTAGATATTGACTTATATAAAAGACAATAAAGACAAGAGTAACAGTAGAATCACCTTTTATAACTAAACAAATCAAACACACCAAAAATGGGTCTATATCAAATACTGCGGTGTTTTGTTCTCTTTGTTTTCTTCGCGGAGAATCACACTGGTAAGTTGTCTTTTAATACTTTATCACCAGTGTAGTCATTTGTTAAAAGTTTATAAACGTGCAGTCTGGTTGTATAGGGCATGGTTGTAGCAGGCTAGTTAGACGGGATCTTACTGGTACTCTGTTTAGCTGAGTGTTCACTAGATGGGCCAGTCGTCCACCAATTCACGTGGGTGACCATCAGTAAAACTGTTTCATCCAGTTCTAGAATTTACCTCGAGTTTATTCTGAAATGTTTCTAGCTGAGGCTTAGGACTGTGCCAGCAATAGAATGTCTGGTCCTTAATTTAAAATCTTGACATCGGTGTCAAGCATTGTGATCTGCTTTATGTACTCCCTGATCACTACCCCCAGTACATTTGTACAGCTTGACTTACTCTACCCCATTATCCAGTCAATGTATCAGCCTCTACCTCACCCCAACATCCAGTCAATGTAAACCTTGACCACAACATCCATTCAATGTATCAGCCATTACTTGACACCATCATCCATTAAACGTACCATCCATAACTTGACCACATCATCCATTAAACATACCATCCATTACTTGACCCCATCATTAACATACCATCCATTACTTGACCCCATCATTAAAGTACCATCCCTGTTACCCCTGACCCCAGTGTTCAGCTCCTTTACCAGCACACCCAAGGACATAACTCCGACCAAAACAAAAATCTTGGTGCTCAAATGCCTGCCTAGTACGGAAGGCTTGACGGCCATCTTGGCCATCAACATCAAAAAGAAAGAGGCCATCTCAGACAGCTCGAGTGACCCGGGCCAACCGTTTGGGGATAACCCCCACAAGGAAGGTCAGAGTTCAACTTTTGACAGTTTCGTCAGGGCGGCCATTTCTTCAGGGAACAGGATAACGGTAACACCAACGTCGGTTAGGTGAGTTTTAGTTTTAGACGGGGAACAGAATAACAGTTACACCAACGTCTGTTAGGTGAGTTTTAGATGGGGAACAGAATAACAGTTACACCAACGTCTGTTAGGTGAGTTTTAGACAGGGGGGGAGAGATGGTATAGGGAGTGTACAGCTATAAAGTAGGAGTGTCCAAAAGTAGACATGGGTGTGTCCAGCTGTAAAGTGGGAGTGTCCAAAAGTAGACATGGGTGTGTCCAGCTGTAAAGTGGGAGTGTCCAAAAGTAGACATGGGTGTGTCCAGCTGTAAAGTGGGAGTGTCCAAAAGTAGACATGGGTGTGTCCAGCTGTAAAGTGGGAGTGTCCAAAAGTAGACATGGGTGTGTCCAGCTGTAAAGTGGGAGTGTCCAAAAGTAGACATGGGTGTGTCCAGCTGTAAAGTGGGAGTGTCCAAAAGTAGACATGGGTGTGTCCAGCTGTAAAGTGGGAGTGTCCAAAAGTAGACATGGGTGTGTCCAGCTGTAAAGTGGGAGTGTCCAAAAGTAGACATGTGAGTGTCCAGCTATAAAGTGGGAGTGTCCAAAAGTAGACATGGGTGTGTCCAGCTGTAAAGTGGGAGTGTCCAAAAGTAGACATAGGAGTGTCCAGCTATAAAGTGGGAGTGTCCAGCAATAATGTGGACGTGTCGATTAGTATACATGGGTGTGTCAATTAATAGACACGAGAGTGTTCATCTAGTATGTGGGAATGTTTAGCATTAAATATTCATTACTAGACATTGGAAAAGGACGGGGATGGCCTAGTAAAGCGCTAGACTGCTAACCCGAAAGTCTCGGGTTCGAATCCGGTTTCAATTCAGTAGAACATCCCTGCTCCACCCAGCTCATATGGGTACCCAACTCATGTTAGGGAAAGTAAAGGCGGCTGGTCATAGTGCTGACCACACTATCTCTTCATATGCCGAGGTCACAGAAACAGGTGTACTCTACTTCACTTGCCCCATAGCAACTTTACTATTTACTAGCCATGGGAGTATTAATACTTATGACACGTGACTCCCGTATCCCCAGGTTTAAGGCCGAGGGGATGCTGGGCGAGGACCCGTCGCTGACAGTCACGCTACACGACCCTGGGGTCAACGACCTTGGCCTCTACGAGTGCCAGGTGACCTACTTTGATGAGAACATGAACGTCAAGGTCTTTGCTGACACACTGGAGGTCAGGCAGGGTAAGGGTCAAGGTCAATACAAGTTAGAGAGTTAAGGTATAATTAAACCCACATAACTATCGTTTAGCTCTGTAGTCATCAGGTAACGTTAAAACACGTTCAGTTAATTAAATACACTTGCACTTGAGCTAGACTAGGTTCAATTAGTATTGGTTAGAGCTAGGTACGGTATTCGGCTCATACCCAGTGGCGTAGCGAGGTCGGATGTCCCCCGGTGCGGCACTTAATGGTGTCACCCCCCAGAGGCGTTGCGACCCTTCCCGGGGACAAACTTTCATGTTTTCGATTTACAACCTTCTCAAACTTTCGATTTGCACCCCCCCCCCCTCAAGTTTTTGATTTGCACCCCACCCCACTCAAACTTTTTATTTGCACCCCCCCCCCCTCAAGTTTTTCTCTATATATTTTGCTATTTTTTGCCTTGGTGTCACCCCCCTAAACGGTGTCACCCGGTGCGGTCCGCACCCCCCGCCCCCCCCCCCCCCCCCCCTCGCTACGCCCCTGCTCATACCTAGTTTAATTTCTAAGGCGATATGCTCCAAATATTTAGAGATAGACCTAAACTAAAGCTTAGAAATGGACTTCAAATAAAACTAAGACCCTCGTTAAAAGAGTGCCACAAAATTTCGCCCCACACCCCCCCCCAATCCCAGAGAAAAAAAAATTTGAAAGAAACATTGCTGTCCCGGTAAGTCCTTAAAATTCTTAATCCTCCCCCTACCCTAATTTAGTTTTTCATATCGTCACGGAGTTCTAATCTAAACTCTCCTTTCCCACACTTCTTGACTAAAGCTCTAATATTTTAGAGATAAGGCCAAACTAAAACTCCAATGTTTAGAGCAAAATAGAGCTCAACTAAAGTCTCAATGTTTTAGAAATGGAGCTAAACAGAATCTCCAATATACTTTAGAGATAGAGCTAAACTAAATCTACAATATAGTTTAGAACTCGAGCTAAACTCCAATATATTTTAGAGATAGAGCTAAACTAAATCTACAATATAGTTTTGAGCTCGAGCTAAACTAAAGCTCCAATTTATTTTAGAGATTGAGCTAAACTAAAGCTCCAAAATATTTTAGAGCTGGAGCTAAACTAAAACTCTAATGTATTCTAGAGATGGAGCTTAGCGTGGAGACCCTAGAGTCCCGCGTGCAGACATTGGAGGGGAAGTTCCCCGTGATCATGATGTTGGCTGAAGCCATGCAGCAGGCAGCCATAGAAGCCAAGAGTGCAGACGAGACCCTGAAGCAGGATGTGACGTCACTGAGGCAGGAGAACAAACAAATTCTGGAGACCATCGCGGCTCTCTCTAGAGACGTTAGTTTGTTTTACATTCATTGTTTTACATTCATGGTTTTACATTCATGGTTTTACATTTTTGGTTTTACATTCATGGTTTTATATTCATTGTTTTACATTAATTGTTTTACATTCATGGTTTTACATTCATTGTTTTACATTCATTGTTTTACATTCATTATTTTACATTCATTAACTTTTGTTACATTAAGTATTACCTAATTTATTATTTAGGTTGTGTTTTAAATTTGTATTTGTTTTATTAGAGCGTTTTTTAAAGTAATTAATTGATTCATTGAATTTTACTTATAAAAGTTTCATTAATTTGGGACTAAAATTTTTTTTGACCATAGAGAATTGAGCTTAACATTCAGTTAAGATTTACTGCCGGGACCGATTACAAATATACACTAATTACGCATCGCAATGCATATTAATTTAATAGACAGACTTAATTACAAAGACTCATTAAACCCAACAGATATGCAAATAAAACGCGAACAAGAAACCAATCCAACTTCATCCAAAGCTATAACCTGCTGATTGTGATGTGTTTTATCTTGCAGATTCAGAGTCTTACAGTACGAATCGAGGCTAGCGACAAAAATCAGGTGGGTGAAATTGACGTAATGGTGGTCTGGTATAAAAGTGGGTCTGGTCAGAGGCGTAGCGAGGGGGGGGGGTGCGGGGGGTGTGGACCGCACCGGGTGACACCATTTAGGAGGGGGGGGGGTGACACCAAGGCAAAAAATAGCAAAATATATAGAGAAAAACTTGAGGGGAGGGGGGTGCAAATCGAAAGTTTGAGGGGGGGGGGTGCAAATCTAAAACTTGAGGGAGGGGGGGTGCAAATCGAAAATTTGTCCCCGGGAAGGGTCGCTCTACGCCTCTGGGGGTGACACCATTAAGTGCCGCACCGGGTGACACCCGACCTCGCTACGCCACTGGGTCTGGTTGGTTTAAGTTGGGAGTTATTTATAAGTTAAGTCATTCTACAACGAAATCATAACTATTAAAATCATAACTATAACAATACTAGGATCAATGTAGGCACGTCGATATTATCGACGATAATGTTGGAGAAACGCTAAACAGAGAGTGGCTCAAATTTACATTTTAATTAACTCAGTTTCGAATTACCCAATTTTTTTCTCTCCTTAAAACAAACAACAACATGACGTGTAATACATATATATAATATATATATATTAATATATATATATATATATGTATATATACATACATAGGCCAACATACATACATATATATATATATATATATATATATATAATATATATATATATGTATATATATATATATATGTATATATGTATATATGTACAGGCGGAGGCAGCCACTAGAGTGAACAATGAGGACCTAATGAGAGTGAGGCAGAGAATGGAGGACCTAGAGAACACGAGCCTCCGAGTGTTAGAAGACAGGATGAGACATAAGGAGCAAGGAGGGCAGTCTGGAGTTGAGGGCAGACAAACTGTGGTTTAACCTCAACGTCACCATGGAGGAGAGGGTCTCTAAGCTGGAGAAGATTAACTGGAGCAGTAAGTTAAACTAGGGGCAGTAAGTTGAACTTGGGTCAGTAAGTTAAACTAGGGGCATTAAGTTAACGAGGGGCAGTAAGTTAAACTAGGGGCAGTAAGTTAAACTTGGGGCAGTAAGTTAAACTTGGGGCAGTAAGTTAAACTAGGGGCAGTAAGCTAAACGGGGCAGAAAGTTAAATTTGGGACAGTAAGTTAAACCCGGCACTAAGGTAAACTTGGGGCAGTAAGTTAAACTTGGCAGTAAGTTAAACTTGGGGCAGTAAGTTAAACTTGGGGCAGTGAGTTAAACTTGGGGCAGTAAGTTAAACTTGGCAGTAATTTAAACTTGGCAGTAAGTTAAACTTGACAGTATGTTAAACTTGGGACAGTAAGTTAAACGGGGCAGAAAGTTAAACTTGGGCAGTAAGTTAAACGGGGCAGTACGTTACTCTTTGGGCAGTAAGTTAAACTTTGGGCAGTAAGTTAAACGGGGGCAGTAAGTTAAATGGGGCAGTAAGTTAAACGGGGCAGTAAGTTAAACGGGGCAGTAAGTTAAACGGGGCAGTAAGTTAAACGGAGCAGTAAGTTAAACTTTGGGCAGTAAGTTAAACTTTGGGCAGTATGTTAAACTCGGGGAAGTATGTTTTAAAGATTTGTACAGCGTCTGGACATGTTTTAAAGATTTGTTCCAGTCTGGACATGGTTTTAAAGATTTGTTCCAGGTTTTGTACAGCGTCTAGACATGTTGGACTTGAAGACCATCCCCGTCCTACAGAACAACGTCAGCTTCGTGCTGGAGAGTCTTGTTGCCATGGAGAAAACTATTGACTGGGTTGGTGGTGTGTCATGTCACATGTCATTGGCTGGCTTGGTCTGTCATGTCAGATGTCATGGGTTGGGTTGGTTGTCATGTCAGATGTCATGGGTTGGGTTGGTTGTCATGTCATGTCAGATGTCATGGGTTGGGTTGGTTGTCATATCATGTCAGATGTCATGGGTTGGGTTGGTTGTCATGTCAGATGTCATGGGTTGGGTTGGTTGTCATGTCGATGTCATGGGTTGGGTTGGTTGTCATGTCAGATTTCATGGGTTGGGTGGTTGTCATGTCAGATGTCATGGGTTCGGTTGGTGTCATGTCAGATGTCATGGGTTGGGTATTGTTGTCATGTCAGATGTCATGGGTTGGGTTGGTGTCATGTCAGATGTCATGGGTTGGGTTGGTTGTCATGTCAGATGTCATGGGTTGTGTTGGTTGTCATGTCAGATGTCATGGGTTGGGTTGGTTGTCATGTCAGATGTCATGGGTTGTGTTGGTTGTCATGTCAGATGTCATGGGTTGGGTTGGTTGTCATGTCAGATGTCATGGGTGTGTTGGTTGTCATGTCAGATGTCATGGGTTCGGTTGGTTGTCATGTCAGATGTCAGGTGGGTTGTGTGGTTGTCATGTCAGATGTCATGGGGTTGGGTTGGTTGTCATGTCAGATGTCATGGGTTGGGTTGGTTGTCATGTCAGATGTCATGGGTTTGGTTGGTTGTCGCTCATGTCACATGTTAATGACTGGGTTGGTTCGATGTCATGTCAGATGTCATTGACTTGGTTTACTGTCATATCACATGTCATTAGGTGGGTTGGTTGACTTTACTGACATGACACTTGGTAGAGATATAGAAATTGGAGAACATTATGAAGTAAGAAATGTTTGAATATTGTGTGCATGTGAAAGGTGGGGGGGGGGGGGTGGATGTACGCCTCCTGTTTGCAGTAAAGATTTACAAGACCATTGCATGTTCAGAGACTTTAACAATGCTGTTATTTTAAAGTTGGTCTTTAATATATATTTTTTCCAATTTCTTTTTATTCTGTTATGTAGGTTATAGCCACGACGAATCTGTCGATAAGCGAATTGAACAGTGTGTTACAATCTTCGGCAATTACCTCCCCTGGTCCAGTGATTGCAACAACAGCAGAAACTGGTAGCCACATTACGCTGTTACTAAATTTAGATCTATTTAGGAAACATACTATATAAATTGCGTAGTTGTTTTTATTAATTTCACAATTCCTGCTTATTGTGATATAAATTTATTTAGATACTTAGTCATGCTTTATTTATAAACCTATTGTAAGGTAACAGCAGAAGAGTCCTTTTAATTGAAAATTGGGAAATTCAAATCTTAAATTAAATAAGGATAGACGAACGGGAAACCCCCACACACAGTCATGCACAGTCATCGGGTAAGACAGAACTGAGGGAATCCTTTGTGACGTCATTAATGATATGACACAGAGAATTTGTATCTAATGTCAAGTGCCTTCTTACTTTATCGTATACGAAGTAGGCCTATAAAGGAAGTATTGTAATCGTGCAAAAATATCGACTTTTTACTCCTCGTATGTGTGTGTGTATGTGTCTGTATGTGTGTGTCTGTCTGTCTGTCTGTGAACACTATAACTCGAGTATTGTAACAGCTAAGTTGATGAAATTTCATTTATAAATATTACATCAAAGTTGTTTTTCTATTTCAACTTTTCATTGATTTCCGGTATCCGGATTTGAAATTTATTGTACTTTTGGTTTTTCAAAAGCCTATAAGCCTAGATGAAATTTCACATATACGTGAAAAATCTTATTCTCTTTTTTTCTGTCAAAAAAATGAGTTATTTCCGATGAAAGGAAGTAGTACTTTAAGCTATTTCCGATTCCTAAAAAAACGCATATCAATATATAAAGTACTAATGGTCCGCACTTTCATACACACATTGTTTGCTGTTCACGTGATGCGTACTTTTTTTTCTAAGAGATTATATTCTATTTCAAAAACTTTAAGTATTTAATTACTTGATTAAATTATGTCTATATCCCAAGTCGCCACCCCACCCCTCCCCGTAGTGTTATATAAGAATATTCGAGAAAGTTTAAGGAAGATCACTCCCGCTTTATTTCTCCTGAATTTGTCCTCAGTCGCAAAATTCGGCCTGTAACCAAAAAAAAAAAGATCCCAAAAAGGAAATTGTTTAGCGAACATAATGTTGGCATTTAAAATAAGATGTCGGCACTTCTTACGTCCAAGAATAACTTTTAATGTCCTTGACCTTCAACCCGTTTCCCGCTCACCAGAAGAGCAGACGACCATTTCCGGTAACGCCTGCTACGTGTGCGGCGACAACGCCACCCAGAGCTACTGCAATGCGCGGACGTCCAAACACATCGCGCCGTGCAATGACGACCAGCCCTACTGCGTCACGGATGTGTATCAGAACGGGGCCTTCCGGCGGGTTTATAAGAGGTAAACCCGTTTTTGTTTGTCTGTAAGTGTTATTGTATCAGTAATCCATATATTAAACGCTGTTTTGTGATTTGGCATTCAAAGTAGAGTCCACCTGTTTCTGTGACCTCAGCATATAATTTTATATTAAGGGACATTGTTGTCATTTCTGTGCTGACTCACCTTCAATTCCCCCCCCCCCCCAATGAGTCAGATACCAAATAAAGATTGTTAAACTCAGCAACGGCATACGAACGTTTGTCTATTTATAACGGTTCCCAGAAAAATGCGCCATCGGAAAACTGCGCAACGGAAAATTGCTCAAACGGAAAAATGCGCAAATACAATGTCATTATACCAATACACTTTAATTGTATCACATTTTGATGAAAAAATGTTTTATTGTGATACAATGTAAATGTAGTCAGTCTTTGTTGGTGGTTATAAATCCTCGATTTAAGAAAACAAAAATACCATTGTGCACATATTTGTGCGCAGTTTTCCGTTGCGCATATGTTTTCCGGTCACCGTTTGTAGCATCTCATTTCTCTCCCCCCCCCCACCATTCCCCACTTACCCCCGTAGATCATTTTCAAATATCCCCCCCCCCCCCACGCCGGTTGGGGCTGCTTTAAATTTAAAAAATGAGGTGGTGGTGGAGAGTTAGAAGACAGCCAAAACAATCAATTTGG